GCCTCCTGAGCAGGGCCATGCCCGTAGGGACTGGCACACAGCAGCGTGTAGCCCCTCGGTTGTCAGGAGTGAGGGGAGAGGGGGACCCAGAGCATGCTGGTGATGACCGGAAATGGGAGCAAAAGCCCCCTGCTCCGAGCCTGACTCCACACCCCTCTCCAGTGACAGCACAAGGTCTGCTGACACCCACAGGCTGCTGCTCCCTGTGTGTCATGCCCCGGAGTGACCTGACCAGCCTCACGATGAGATGTACGTGGGCTGGACGGTAAAGGGACAATCATGGGTGGATTTGATGGAAGAAGCCAGGGGCCTAGGAACCAGCCCAAGCTTAGCTTCCTTCTGACCAGGTCTCGGGCACAATTCACTCCTCAAGCAGAAAGCTGCTTTCAGTGTCATTTGAGCCCAGCTGAGACTGTGTTTAGAGCTATAAAGGGAAGTGTCAGAGAGAGTGGGTTAGATTTCAGAGGAACTTCCTGGTGACAACCTCTGGTGCCATAAAACACCTACTTAATATAAATACTGCAGTTCCCATCCCAGGAGACCCTAAATATTCAGCTAGATGACAGCTAGGAGGCTTCAGTATGTTGGGTAGTAAGTCAGTGGATCATGTGTGTGTACCATCTCTAAGTCATCCCCCAAGTCCAAGAGGTGGGTACTGTTTTGCTATTCCCATGGTAACCTGAGCCAGCCAAGGCCAGAAAACACAGAACAAGAATGCAAGGTCCCACACCTGCCAAGATGGGCAGAACTTGACCCATCTCCAGAGGCTCTTTGCCACCTGGTAGTACTGCTCAATCATGGAGTCTTCAGCTGGCTCTAAAAACGATCTGGGATTTTCTCATTTCTTTTTCTAAGGAATACTATCCATTTCCAGAGAGGTGCTGCCTAGGCCCTTCTCATCCTCTCCTAAAGGAGTTACTCCAAATAATCAGAGAGCAGCTACCATGGCTCAGAGGCCTACCATCTACCTCACCCCACACCCCCCGTCCTTGGCCCCAAGCCTTTCCAGTTGTGCTATTAGTAGCACTGACCCAATCGTTGTCTGCCCAGGGCCAGGACTATTTTGACTCTGTCCTCGGGGCTCATGTGGTCTGAGGTGTGTACAAGCTGGGCCGCTCCCATAAGCACTGGGATGTGGTGCCAGGAATGTTCTGGCTGACACACCTGTTCCCAGAGCAGGGCTAAATGCTGCTCCTTACCCACAGCCTGCACCATGTGCCTCCTGAGATGTGGTTCTAAGAGGAAGAGGTGTGGGAGATTGGTAATAGGGGTGTTGCGGGGCTTAAATCCTCGTCCATAAGAGAACAACGGGGCAGTTTCTGCTGACACTGCCTTTTTGGCTCTATTATACGAGAGTGTGGTAATCATTGCATTTGTGACAGCCAGTCAGTGGGATCCATGCCTGACTGTCCTCGGGACTTAAAACAGCACCATCATCCTTGCTGAAAGACTGGGATACTTTCCTCTCCAGGGCTTTTCCTAGACCGACTAAACTCTAAGTCCCCTTCCCCTCCTCTACTGCAAGGGCTTGGCTGCTCTTCAAAGGCCACCTGAGGCCACCTCCCTCAGGATGTCTTCCTGGATAGGTCCAGCCCGTCCTCCTCTTACCTCCCAGGGCCCTTAGCATGAATTTCCCTTTAGTAGAGATATCCTTTCCCCACACACACACACCTTTTTTTCCTTTCAGTCTAAGCAGAAAGCTCTTAACTTCAGCTATATTTCACTTGCTATACTCAGGATGAAGTAGGTACCCAGCCAGGGTGGACTGATGACCCAGCTCAGTCAGCAAGGCCAGTCCAGCTCTACCCAGGAAACAAGTCTGCATCTCCTTCTTGTGTTCATACATGACTACTGAACATGACCTCTTTGCCTGTCACTGGTCTGAACCTTGGAGAAAGAGCATCTTGGGAGAGCAGCCTGTGGCCTCCTAGGGACACACATTACCATATAGCTGGCTCCATGCCCTTATTCAAAGTTAGTATCACTAACTTTGCCTCCGGATGCTGGGAAAGGCCTCTCTGAGGATTTAACCTGTGACAGACTCACTGGGGCTCAGGAAGGCTTAAGTGGAAAGGAAGGAGGAACAGCATCCCCTTGGTGGGGACAGCGTGTGCAAGGCATGAAGACCAAAAGAAGCCATGGTCCTGTCAGATCCTCAGCCCTTGTATCACAGGATCCATACCATCAGATTCAACCAACTATGAACTGAAAATATTTGAGGGAAAATGTGTCTGTACCGAGCATGTACAGCTGTTTTTCTTGTCATTTTCTAAACAATGCCATATAACTATTGACACAGCATTTACACTGTAGGAGGTTTCTTTCTTAAATAACCTGGAGATCATTTAAAGGACACCAAAGGATGTAAGTCATATACAAATGCTACATTATTTTGTGCAGGACTGGAGCAAACATGGATCTTGGTATCGATGGAGGTCCTGGAACCAATCCCTTGTAGATGATAAGGGAGGACTTTGGTTCCCAGACCAGCTGGCCATGGACAGGGAGGCTGCTCAGCTCCTTGCCCTGACTGGGGAGGATGGAGCCCCACAGAGGCAGACTGGAGCACACTGGTCCCTGGGTGCCAGAGCTCCCGGAGTCCCTGTCTCTTCCCCTCCAGGCCTGCTACCTCTCCTTCCAGCCTCCCTCTGCTCCTTCCCAATTAGCATGAAATTGGCTTCTGTAATGCTGATGTGCTTTCCTTCTTGTTAGAATCTTAATATTGCATGAATCACAAATCCCAAGCTGCCCTGGCATGTGGTCAGGGTCAGAGGTGTGAATTAAAATAACAGATGATCCCAATTGCTGCAGTCAGGGGATGCTGAGGACAGCTGGAGAGGTTGCTCACCAGGTTGCTCACCTTTGTCACTGATAATGAGAGCACTTCCGAGGCTGCTGATCTCAAACTCTTTCACTGGAGAGGTTTAAACACCTTTCCCATGTTACTCCATCATCATAATATGGAGAGCTGCTTTTTTATCTAGCCTTTTACTACAAGTATAATTTCACTTAATCATCATACAACTTTACAATATATGTTTGAGTGATAACCCCAAGATCTCACAGCTGGTCATCATACAGCCAGAGTCTTGGTCTTTGGGGCTTTGTAGTAAGCACAGTCGAAAAGAATGATCATGATCTGAGGGTGCCATGTAGCCTCCAAGTCTTTCCTAGTCTCCTGGACAAGAGCTGACCCATTCAAAACCCTCGAAATTTATACTGGATTCCAGGCACCATGCTGAGGCCTGGGGAAGACTTGGGATGCATAGACTTAGTGTCTGCAGCTCATCCCCTCTGGACCCAGGGCCCTCTTCCCAAACTTCCCTGCTTTTTCATGCGACCTCGTCAGCACCCCATACACACTGTGGCTACCACTTAGTTCCCCTTTCTCTAAGCTTCTTAGTGTTCATTGTACAAGCCACAGCATCTACTGCTTTTATTTATTTTATTCACTCAGCAGTCATTTGTATGTGAAAGGCAGTGGAGACACATTAGTATACACTGTGCCTTCATGAAGTCACCTGGACCATGCACCCTCTCCCCAGAGACTCAATCCTACAAAGTAGCATCATGAAGAAGACTGGGCCACAGTCAGAAGGACTGAGGTGCCACCATTTTAGCAACAGGGAGAAAGTCATTCAATCTTTTCATCTGGAAAGTGGGAATAACAATACCCTGCCAGGCGTGGTGGCCCATGCCTGTAATCTCAACACTTGGTGACTGAGGCAAGAGGATCACCGAAAGTTCAAGGCCAGCCTGGGCTACATAAGTGAGACCCTGTCTCAAAAAAAAAAAAAA